ACTTGAAGGGACCCTCTGAATTATCAAGTCCAGCCCCTAGATTCAAGGTTTATAAAGTCTTATATTATCCAGGAGATGAATGAATGAAGTGTCTCGCTTAACAAGGATAATCCGTTCCAGAGAAATCTCTGTAGAGTGAAATCCTCGTTAAGCGATTTAAAAAAATCCCATTGAAACGCATTGAAAACCCATTCAATGCCTTTCAGTGGGCTGAATAACTCACCGTCCAGCGAAGATCCTCCATAGGGTGGCCATTTTCTGATCCCTGTCTAGCGAAAAAGCAGTCCTGAAAACAGCGGGGAGCCATTTTGCACAGCGGGTGGCCATTTTGACAGCCGCCGATCAGCTGTTTTCAGTTCATCGTAATGTGAAGAATCGGTCCCCGAAGCAGGGAACCGATCATCGCAAAGCGCAAAAACCCATTCAAACATCGTTTTGCTATCGTAAAAGCGATCGCAAAACAGTAATCGTACAGTGGTTTCGTCATTTAATGAGGTAATCGTTAAGCAAGGCACCACTGTAGATAAATGAACTCCTCTTCCGGCATAGCCCACCTTGTGCAGCCAGTAACAGAGATTCTACTTCATGCTGTTGCTGATAGCTGAAGTCCAGGGGCCGGTGCCTGGATTATGGAGTTCTTGGCTCACTGAGATTCACCACCCATGTGGGAAACCTTTTTTAAAAAAATAATTTTATTATATAACAAACAACAGGCAACAATCAAAGGAATACAAGTTCAGGGGGGGAGAATATTAAAATACACCATCAAAACATACACACAGGGAAGTGTTTACAGTAGTACAATATCTAGTATAATCTTGACTCCATAACTGTGTTACAATACTAAAATCTATAACATATGTTATATTCTCTACTCATATTTGTTTCTGGGCTCAATCATAAAACATTTGACAGTTTTCTTTAACATATCTTCTTGAATTCTCAGATAGTATCTCTAACAAGCTGTCCCATTTTGAGCCCAGATCAACCTATTAACTATAAATATTTGCAACAATACAGTATATGTTTACTATATATATAACTAGAAATGCTCTTGCTGAATATAATACCAGAAATTATTTCTGGTATTATATTCAGCAAGAGCATTTCTAGTTATATATATAGTAAACATATACTGTATTGTTGCAAATATTTATAGTTAATAGGTTGATCTGGGCTCAAAATGGGACAGCTTGTTAGAGATACTATCTGAGAATTCAAGAAGATATGTTAAAGAAAACTGTCAAATGTTTTATGATTGAGCCCAGAAACAAATATGAGTAGAGAATATAACATATGTTATAGATTTTAGTATTGTAACACAGTTATGGAGTCAAGATTATACTAGATATTGTACTACTGTAAACACTTCCCTGTGTGTATGTTTTGATGGTGTATTTTAATATTCTCCCCCCCTGAACTTGTATTCCTTTGATTGTTGCCTGTTGTTTGTTATATAATAAAATTATTTTTTTAAAAAAGGTTTCCCACATGGGTGGTGAATCTCAGTGAGCCAAGAACTCCATAATCCAGGCACCGGCCCCTGGACTTCAGCTATCAGCAACAGCATGAAGTAGAATCTCTGTTACTGGCTGCACAAGGTGGGCTATGCCGGAAGAGGAGTTCATTTATCTACAGTGGTGCCTTGCTTAACGATTACCTCATTAAATGACGAAACCACTGTACGATTACTGTTTTGCGATCGCTTTTACGATAGCAAAACGATGTTTGAATGGGTTTTTGCGCTTTGCGATGATCGGTTCCCTGCTTCGGGGACCGATTCTTCACATTACGATGAACTGAAAACAGCTGTACACATCAATAGCTTAATAGTTCAGCTTTTTAAAAGTTAAGTTACTTTAATGCAGCTTCTTATAAATTCAGGAGACCCACCTCTACTTCCGTCTTCTCTCCAGGTCATACTACGTTCACCAAATCCATTGCTTTTTTCTCCCTTCCTGTACTCCAAATTCAGTCAAGAGCCATAAAACAGTAAAACCATCAGTCTTCATATTAAATGGATCAATCGAAGCCCAAACTCCCATTTAACACCAATTGTAAATACAAATTCAGTCAGAGGCATTTTTAATTTATAATTCACCATTCGCAGATCACAGCAAGGCCTCTTGGGAGGGGTTTCTCCCTTTTTGTCTATAAACACACAGATTCTCCCCAAATGCCTCTGTTAAACTCTTTCTTTAAGAACTAAAATCTTCTTAAACATCTAATATTATGGGTCTATATGTGCCATTGAGGAATGACAGGGGGATGAGAAAGTGATTTCCATCCGTGTCTTTTAAGTTTCGTTTCTTTAAAGTGTGACGCAGATGAAAATTAGCGGGTGTTTCAGGGATACAAAATAAAGTTCTCCATTAGATTTCAAAGAAAGATTAAGTAACAACTAATTTGTCTCTTAATTTCCCCACTTTAGCTGACTTTTTGTTCTTATTTTTTCTGTCGTTTGTTCTCTTTATTGCTCCTCTGCTGCTTTATTTATTTCTTCTCTGCCCTTAAGTCAGCAGCTTCAGTTTGAGCTGTATTTGCTCATGAGAAATAAAAGGCCAGCTACTCACAATTCATGTAGTCAAGTAAAAATTTTCTTCACACTTCCCACCTTGGCAAAGTTAGGCAGCTAATTCACCAGGACATGGCATCTCTGGAGCCAGATGCTTTGAGAATGGAAACTCTCACAAAGACAGATTGCTGTCTGAATTTGGAGCTTTCCAGCCCTCCTTTGCTACAAGCCCACTCTCCTGTAAAACTTCCCCCCCAAACACTGCTGAGGGGTCTGCTGACAGGGTTTACACAGGGGTTCCCACAGCCCTGAGGATTCCCTCTGCTCTCTCTACCGTCGGTCCGTCTCCCCTCATGTGAGAAACTTTTCAGGGTAGAAATGCATCAGATGACAGCTTGAAAGTTAGATGGTGACAAAATGTTATCACTTTGTACAATGTGCACAAGCATATGTTGCCTGTTGCTTGCCTTCTGACAACTAATAACCAAACAAAAGCTAATTTACAACATGTAGACCTATGAAAATCTGCTGGAAGATATTCAAATATCATTTTTGTCCTAAGGCAGCTTCTTATTTAATTGTGGGGCTGCCATCTTGTATCATTTACATACACCCCCACTTCATGTTACGTTAGCCGTATCTGTTTTGCCAGATCTGTATTAGTTAGAGCAATTTTTAAAAAACCCTGCAATTTCTGTTGCAGTGGTTTTGACTATGAAATTTTGGGTTTTTAATTGCATTTTCCAATACATATTTTATGGTTCTGATGGGGAGGAAGAGTACGATATGGGAATAAAAACAAATGAAAAAATGGATTATATGATAGAGAAGTTGCCAAAACTTCTTTGGTCTTTGGAAAAAACAACAACATGTGAACTACTACTCCTTGCTGACCTATGTTGCAGCCCCTACAGGCTCATGAACACATCGTTAGGGCTAAGATTTTCAAATGTGGTTGTTGTTACATTCCATCAAGCAACATCAATCTCATGGCAATCTTAATAGGTTTTTTAAGGGCATGTGCGATGTTCAAGAAATGAAAAACCCCATGAATTTCCATGATTGAGCAAGTATTTGAACCCAGCTTTCCTGAGTCCTGTATGGCACTGGCCTTCAAGGACTCCAAAAAAACAATCTTAAAACAACAGCAACAACAAAAACTGTGAATCATACATGGTGGTTCAGAAACATATTATTTCTTCTTACATATGATGTTACCATTTTTAAAAAGTTAAGAGAGTTTAGAATTCTGGGAACTGCATATTTTTATTTTTGGCATGGAAGGAAAAATAGCTTGGTATTTCAAAACAATGTAGGAGGGAGATGAGCATATGTGGAGTGAGGGAATAATATTTTTGCATATATATATATGATGAAAGAAACATCATTACTTTTAAAAAATTAAAAAGGTATCATAGTTATTTTTAAATAGTTTGTTTGTAACATGGTTGTTGCTCTTGGCAGTAAACATTTTTCTCGCCTTACTTCCTTAGTCGAACAAGTAAGTAATAATTGCTCTTAAAACACTGAGAGTTTGGAGCCCTTCTGTATTTCCATGATTATTTTTAAGAAATAAAAAAGCAACAAATAACTTATTCTTACTATTACTCACGTGGTACCTTGAAAAATAATGAGCACCAATAGCATGCTGCAGGGGAAAAGAAGTGGCCAATGGTTAACAAATTACTTTCAAAAGAGTTACAAAAGAGTAACATTCAAATCTCACCCAGTGCAGTCTTCCCTAAGGTGTTTACACCGTAACAATGTCTGTTTTTGTCATGTCAACCAAGGCAGTGGGAAAACAGGTGTATAGTAATATGATTTTCACTTCCTAATTCATTCTCTATGTGTTTTCATCTGCAGGGGAGTAATAGGAAAACAGGGGTACCAATGTCAAGGTAAGAAATAGGAATGAAACAAATATATTGAAATATAAATGAAATAAATAAGAAACTATTATATTTATTGGTTGCTGTAACAAAATCATTTCTGTTCCTGAATTATTAGAGCAAGCAGATGATCTATAACAGTGGTTCTTAACCTTTGTTACTCGGATGTTTTTGAACTGCAACTCCCAGAAACCCCAGCCAGCACAGTTGGTGGTGAAGGCTTCTGGGAGTTGCAGTCCAAAACTCCTGAGTAACCCAAGGTTAAGAACCAGTGATCTATAAGTAATCTGGGATATTTGACCATTTTTAAAAAGCAACAGGATTCTAGGGTTGTTTTTATTT